GGTCGTGCGGTAAACGGGACTGCTGATGCCTTTTTTAACAATCTGCTGCGTAAAGCGGATGAGGAGCGCCAGGTAGACTGACGTCGTATTTACGTGGGTGTAGAGGAATAAAAAGCCGTAGCGCTAATGATGGCCCGCAGACGATAAAATATTTGAGATGCGTACTCCAGGCGAGTTGCGAAAACTTGATGTTTTGTGCTAACGTAGGCTTCATGTCTACGCCACAAAAAGAACGGCACGGTCGAATATGAAAAGTAAACCGATTCAATACGAAGGAATTCGTGTCCAAACGAATGCGCGTTGAAATTGACAGTTCTGGCCTGTCTGTGGTTCTCGTTGTTTTTTAGGCGATGGCGAAGGTCGTGATTTTGTCTCAATTTGCTGAAAGGCCGTCGGAGCCCTCTCGACTGCGCGAAGTCAGTGACGTGTCTGAAACCCGGCTTGCCGCCGATGGACATCGTGGGATTGCTTACGTGTCACAGTAAAGACTATGTATGTATGATACGATGGCTGTTCTCGGTGGAGCAGCTGTTTGTTTCGTTTTTGTTGCGGTCGGTGTTTTCGTCGTGTGCCTTTCGGCCGGTATACATAAATTGCGGAATTCAGGCCGCCCCTCGATATGTGCGCGTTCGCAAGCTTCGGATGGACGTTGTGCAGCTTTTTCGTTGTTGGATGCCGACCACCGCCGGATAGACGGCGCAGGATGGGCTATGGCGCTTGCAGATGGCTTGGTAAAGGATGATAGGCTTTACGATATTAGTTTAGAGTGAATCACGCCAATGTGTGGGCCGAAACAAAATGCCCGAAATTCCGCGTTTATGGGACGGTAAGCATATAACAAAACATAATACCGTTCGGATGTGACGGTGTGATAATTATCGCGACTACGGTGCTGTAGCTGGTATACAACTACACGCATCCGTTATGATAGACAGTGGACTGTTGCATATGTCCATCTACTTGGAAGCTGTGGCGCAGTAGCGCTTGGCGTTAAAGGGTTGTAACGAATGACAAAGGACAGCAAATGGGGAGTTAGGCAAAAACAACCGCGCTGTGGGGTGTTATGGTGTTATTGTGGGTGTGTGTGTTTGTGTGGTGTGATGTGTGTGTGTGTGTTGTGTGTAGTGTTTGAGTGTGTGTCGTGCTGTGTGCGCTGTGTGTTGTGTGTGTGTCGGGTGTGGGAGCTTGTGGTTGTGTGTGCGGTGTGCGCTGGCGTGGTGTGTGGTGTGTGCGTCTGGAACGTGCGTGTGTACGGCGGCCGGATGTGGGTCGTGGCGTAGTTATACCGGACAGCCTGCCGGGAGTGTCTACCAGCGTCTCTGCTATCAACGCTGCCACCTTCTACGCTGTCGACGCTACGAGAACCCGAAGTCTTCACCTAAAACCCCAGTACACTACGAGCAAGCGAGCTGAGCCGCGCCGCAAGTTCTCAGCAGATCCTAGCCTGCGCCACTCGCGAGCTAGTGTAAACGATGTGTATACGGCACCTTGGGGAGATGGCCTGCCGGAGAGCGGTTACTGTCATAGCCGGATCAAACTCGGCAAAAACTTCGGCTTTGCATCTTAATAATCGTGTAAAACGTCAGGCCGCAGACCGCCTGGCACCAGCCAGAAGGTTGTGACTCGTCAAAATCCAACGCTAACAGTAAACTGCAATCAAAACCAACGACAGCACGGCAAGTGTTCCCCCGGGTAATGCCGCGCGTGATACCCAATAGGTCGGCTACCTTGCTCGACTTGCTCGAGAATGCGCCGTGGCTCGTGCTGCCATCTATCGGTTACCAGCGTTACATGGTTTACTCTATCAGCAACCTCGGGGGAAAAAAACTAGTGAGTTGATAACAACTTGCTTCTAGGAATATCTCGGTTCGACACGGTATGTTAGGGAAAGCAAACGCACCGCACGCCACAGGCACTTGGGGCAGAGTCAAATAATACTTGTACAAATAATAAACTTGCTTTCACAAAAACTAATGCAGAACTAGCCGCTCTCGCACTCGCCGGTGCGAGTGTGCTGTGTCGCCATTATAATATGGTATATATATAAGTATACTTCTAAAGTATGGTTCTATGCTTCTATATATGGTATATATATAATTGTATACTTCTATATATATCATTATAATGGCGACACAGCACACTCGAAGCGGCGAGTGCGGGAGCGGCTAGTTCTGCTTTAGTTTTTGTGAAAGTAAGTTTATATACAGTGACACAACAGTGGAAGTGTAATTGAGGGGTAGTATTTGTGAATGTGCGTTCATATTAATTATTTTTTGTTTTTACTGACTCAGCCCCAAGTGCCTGTGCCGCACGCAGCCGTGGAATAATTATATTCGCAGCGTATGCGAACATAAGATGCACATTGCAATGACGTAGGGCCGACATTAACGGATTTGTGCCGAACTTTTAAATGTCAAAATAACCCAGTCACAATTAAATATATCATAGATATAACTATATTCTTCTAGTATTTTAAATAATCTGTCAGAATCATTACGCAGTATTGTTGCTACATGGGCTAACATATGTGAAATACCGCGCTCGGATAATAAATGCTGTGGGCGATTACTGTGCCCGTGATGTTCCATCTGTCCTGCCAGGCCGCCGTAGCCACATGCACTTGGCACGTTTCAATAGTAGAATGATGGTAAATAAACACAAAATGTAGTTTAGTACAAAAGTCTTAATGTTTCTCTACTCGACCTTCGCCTATTATTGCCGATAATTTCCTGTAAATGACGTTCAAATGCGCCTCTGTAACACACAAGTATATATACCGCACGCACGCCGCTGTGCACAAACAACAAGAATAAAGAGAAGTAAGAATAACAAGAATAAGTCTCTCGAGAAAAAGAATATTTTGCAAAAATAATGCATTCAAAATGGAGAGGAGTTATCCTAGTAGCATAGATTTATAGGATAACATTCCATCAGTAGACGTCACTTAAGAAGTAGGGGGGGGAGACCTTGCACGTAAGGTCCCGGCTGCATATACCAGCCAGTACACAATCTGGCTACGTTAGTGTGTTAGCGCATGCGCAATATCTCACCAAAAGAATTATATTTTGCGATGAATATGCATTTAATATGGTTAGGGGGTATCTCAGCAGAGGTTTCTGTAATAAATTGTTTTCAGTAGACCTGCGTTTATAATTAGGAGAGCGCCCTAGCCAGTAGGGTACAAAACATCTACTTTATGCTCTCGCGTCCTTCCCCTTGCCTCCCCTGTCCCTCGCTCAGCCTCCTTCTTCTTCTACCGCCCCCAGCTATCTTCCCTGCCGCCTTTCCTCAGTCTCCTACCCCCTCTCTCCCTCAGCAAGCTATATTATTAAATTTTCCTTAGACGGTACTACACGCCTGAAACTGTGCTCGCGCATGCGCAATATCTCCAGAGAAAAAGAACATTTTGAAAGGATTATGCATTTAAAATAAAGAGGAGTTATTCTAGCATAGATTTATATGATAACATTCCATCAGTAGACATCACTTAAGAAATAGTTGGAAGACCTTGCATGTATGGTCCCAGCTAAATATACCAGCCAGTACACAATCTGGCTACGTTAGTGTTATTGCATGCGCAATATCTCACCAAAGGAGTTATATTTTGTGGTGAGTATATGCATTTAATATGGTTAGGGGGTATCTCAGCAGAGATTTATGTAATAAATTGTTATCAGTAGACCTGTTTATAATTAAGAGAGCGCCCTAGCCTGAAGAGTGCAAAACTCATACTTCATTCCCTCTCATCCTTTCCTCGTTCTTCCTCTTCTACCGCCCCTCAGCTATCTTCCCTGCCGCCTTTACCCCTCTCTCCTTCTGCAGCTATATTATGCAGTTTTCTTCAGTCCGCCTTTACAGAAACCTCCCTTGCATTATACCGTTGCGGTCCTTGCACCGAATTACCTTGATTCAGACCATTAATATTTAATTCTGACCGACAGACGGCACCACCAGCTTAGCTGACAAACCAGTGCTGGGCCACCCAAATATCTTCCCCTGCATTATAACAAACTGCCGGAGTGTGATGTAAACTTTTAGTTCGAAGTGCTAGTGTATGTGTGGGGCAATAAAATAGCGCCTATACAGTACTGCAATAAAAACTATATAATCATTGTAAGTTCCCACAATGTACGTGAAATGTATTTTGCAGGTAATTCCATCCAGTTTTGCTGGTGTTTCAGATCATTTTTTTGAGCTGCAGAGTTACAACCCCAGCCAGCAATTGCACATAATAAATTTTAATATCTCAATTTCTTTAATGCTGAATAACTTAACAGTTTTTAGTGTCTACTATACCTGAACAAATACATTATTTGATTCCACCCTCAGCAATAGTGGTGCCACAGTTACGAATAGATAGGGAAAACAATTAACTACAAACTTTCACATCAAAAGCTATAAAAAAAAATTCTGAAACAGCCTTAACAGAGACTTAGCTGTTTATTAAGTAACTAACGAATGAAACATGTTGACATAATTCAGGCAATCTGCCGATGTTAATTTATGTCCGAGGACACATCTCCGCCCCATTGTACATTAATGCACCGTGTGGGTTTTGTTCGTAGACATGAATTCTCACTATATCCAACAAGCAATACTTTTCGTTCAGGTGTTTCACATTCCAGAGGATGCTCTCTCTCTCTCTCTCTGTCTTTCTCTCTCTCTCTCTCTCTCGCTCGTTCTCTCTCTCTCGCTCTCCCTCCTCTCTCTCTCTCTCTCTCGCTCTTTCTCTCTCTCTTTTTCTCTCTCTCCTCTCTTATTCTCTGGCACGAGATCTCATCTTAGCACCAACGTGGCCAAGTATTCGTCCTGACACGGCGTCTGATGCATCACAGACTCACAGTAATTCACATTCACGGCCAATTTAGGCGCCTCCGATGACTCGACGCTTCATTCGTCTCACTGATTCACGCATCTCAGGGTTTCAAGTATCACAACGCTTTCGGACAACGGCTCTCGAAATAGCAAGCGTGGCGATTCACGTGCTGCACACTGGCGCATCTCCGTGCTTGCTGCTACGCCCGGAGTATAGCCACACTGCGTCGATGCCTTCACCAACAGTCTGCACGGGCGACCACGTCGGGAGCGGGAATCGACATGCGACGACGCAGGCGCTGCCTGCCAGCTCTGCCGACAGCTTATCCTGCAGAGCTGGCATCATCTGCTCCACTCCGAATATTACAACATTGTCATACTTGGACAGATCCACCTGGGCATGGAGAAAGGTCAGTGATTACAATATGTGTTAGACTACATTATTTATGAATAGAAAGAGGGGCAATATAAACTACATGTATAACAAACATGACAATGCGCCATTTCCTTTTTAACAAACTAGAAATCCCTGAAGGAAATGCAAATCAACTCATATTAACGCAGATGGGGTCGTTGTCGTATCAGGTATTACAGATATGTACCCGAGGTAGTTTTAGGTTGTTTAGTATTATGTTTATATTTTTATATGAGGTATGTTTAGGGTTAGGGTTAGGGTTAGAGTTAGGGTTAGGGTTAGTGTTAGGGTTAGGGTACACTTCTGTAGTACAAGTCTGGTACACTTTGTGTATACATATATGTACGTACCTCAGGTACATATCTGTAGTACCTGATACGACAACGATCCCTTGAGCCATATTAACCAGATAACTCTCAATGACTACGTGTGGTACATCATAATATAAAAGCTAAGTTATCAACTTATTATAAATACAGACCTTCCAGAGGTCTTTCCTTGTAAACGTGGCATGTGTATGGAGCCCTTGAGAGCGGGCAGCAAACCTCGAGTACCAGACTAGCCACGGATTCAACTCCACACCAATTGCAGTGAATCCACACCTGGCAGCTTCCAAAACCTATTCAAAATCAATAAATCAAGTAAAGAAAGCTTACATCACTATATAATATATATGGTATGATACTCAGTTAAACACATACACACAGCCACAGGGACCCAACATCTCTCTTTATTTATTTTCGACGAAGTCATGCAGAACAGAGCATATATACCATTAGGCATTACCGGCATTACTTTTTATAACTTCATATTTTCATTTTGACTTATGATTACCAACTACTAATTTATCATGCTAGTTCGCAGTTATCGTAGTGTGAGAGGTAAACGTCGATTTGAAGATGCAAGTATTAAATTTAAAATGTGTAACCCAACATGTACGTTAATGATTTGGTACGTACAATTCTTCCATCACCACTTCCAAGATCAATTAGTGACGCGCCTTTTCGCTTCCCGATAAGGGATAGCACGTTGTTCACTTGCTGAGTGGTGGCTGGTACATAAGGGAGGCAAACTCGGCGCAGTGCGGGAAGCACAAATGGTGCCGCGACTGCATATATTCCAGCGACAACGGCACATGTTATACCGGCAACCACAAGGCCTGCTTTATTTTTATGTCGGCTGGCATTGGCAGTGCTAGTAGTACTACTACTAGTAGTAGTAGTAGAGGCGGAGTCAGTGGCAAATTCGGATAGTACCGATTGCTGACTAACTGATTCACTGCTAGATTTCATTAAAAATAATTTGTGCTGCCGGTTAACGCCTAGTTTTAGCGATTATTTGTAAATAATACTTCCATATCACATTCTCAAGATCATTACTTCATGGCCGCAGACATCTTGTTTGAAGTGGTGCGTTTATTCGAACACATAAACTGTAAAAATATTAAATAATTTGTTTAATTTAATCAAAAATAATTATGTAAAAAACTTCAACTACATATGTGATAGGTTTTACAAATTAATATAGTGTACTCATATCCTTGAACTTGTTTATTTTCTAACACACGATTACCTATAAATCCTCAGCTAAATATGTAGAGGTCGCTGTATATCTTGCACATGGATTTGTTTGCTAACATTTTCAACTTATTGAATGTTTCGTTGGATTAGAATGAACACAGAAGACGAAGACTCCCCACAGGCGTGGGAATGGACAGGGCCTATTCACGACAGAGATCCAGTTCTTCATCAGGCAGCATATCTAGGCGATTTGAACAAAATCAAAGAGGTGTTAGCAGTGGGCGGGTCTACGGATAGTGAGGAGCTAGGGACGATCGATGCTAAAAATAGACTCGGATGCACTCCTCTACGACTCGCGGCTACAGGTGATGATACATTAAATAGTATTACTATTGTAATACTAATAGAAAAAATGTCAGATCGAAAGTGTGGTATGTATGCTAGAAACATGGTAAGTTGAGACGATTCCCCCAAGCCATAGACCACTCGCCCAGTGTTTTTGGGAATGACACTGTCAGTGTCACTTGTGAAACAGGACCGTCGCAGGTCATCATAACCTATTTGCTCGCTTAATACCAGATTATAACGCTGCTGCGAACTCTCAGCACGGAATGTAAAAATGAACCCTATAATTAATATAAAAAATGAAGTACAATGTGTTATTTTATAGGCGGCCACTCACCGTGTGTGAAGTACTTGATTGACTGTGGGGCAGATGTCAATCTGTCCGATGTCAAAGCGCAGACGCCGTTGTACGTGGCGATCAAGACTAAGCACCTAAACTGTGCAAAAATCCTTTTGGCAGCCGGTGCCAACCCGAACGGAGACGAACGATGTCTGTGTACTCCCTTGTATATAGCATCAATGGATGGGTTTGTGGAAGGGGTGCGGGTATGTGTGTGCTTTTTGCATTATTCGTTCATTCTCAATCGGCCATAATTCTAGTAGAATCTAGAGTGAATTATATAAATAGAAGTCTAATGAAAGCGATATATTGGAAGTATTTGGCTCCATCTCTCTTACTTCCTTGTAAATTCTTCTTCTTGACTTACTCATGGTAGTATGTAAATAAGCATATAAATTCTAATTTCTCACATCTTATCGCATCGTATCTGTGTTTCGCACGTGCTCCTTCTATGCAAGGCTGTGTTTTCATTGCAGGAATTGGTGCGGTATGGGGCCGATCTAGATACATCTCAGATCAGAGTTGGATCGTTCATCAGTACACCACTGTACATAACGATTGCGTATCAGCACCTTGACTGCTTCAAGACTCTTCTACAAGTTAGTGCATTCTGTTTGTGAGCTATATTACTTTGTTACAGTATTGGTCGTGCAGAAGCCAGATGTTTCTGTCCAGTCAAATTATAATTAGAGGTAGGCAGTATTCAAGATTGAGTGATATGTTGATATACTCCTTATAGGTTTATATTATGCGCGCGCGCGCGTGCGTGTGTGTGTGTATATACATGTATGTTATATACATATGTGTACATATTATGATTGACTGATGTGTTTATGATAATGATTATGGTTATTTATAGGCTGGAGCAGATCCAGACTATGGATGTGACCCAGTTATAGCAAAGAAGCGCCATCTACCCAACTGCCAGTCATTATTCCATTACGTGGTTCGCAAGTCTTCCTGCAAGTGGCAGTTTGCAGCCTTGTTGAGGGAGTTTGGTGCTAATATGTGGCTTACAGATGACAAGGGGAAAATGGCATTTGAACTCAATGATATCGCACCGTCCGAATGCAAACAGTACATCCAGGAAGTCATAGGTAGTTGAGCAAATTTTAATAGTTGTGGGTAGCTAAATATATCTGAGTTGTATCATCAATTAAGCTGGGGTAATATGCCCATGTGTGAATTCTTTGACAACGTTCAACGTTCTCAACGTGCAATTTGACAGATCTGGCATGCATACGTCACAGTTTTGTCGTTCCTTGTCTTTGTACCTTTCAGCAAACATGTCTGTACCACTGTTTCAGGTTGCCCACTTGCTCTCACACACCTATGTCGAGTACGATTGCGACACCACCTAGGGAGAAGTAAACTAGTCCTTGTACCACAGTTACCATTGCCACAGAAGATGATCGCTTTTCTAGAACACAACGAGTGAATATTTGTTGTTGTTTTTTGCAAGTGCAATTTTATATTTATACCATAAGGTTTCATGAAATTTGGCCTATTGAATCTCACCATTTCATTTAGTATTGTTAGTGTATAGAGCTATGAAAATTTTAAGCTAGTAATTTAAATCTACATGCAAAAAAATCTTATTACAAGATTCTTTAAATGAAAGTTATAGTTCTGTTTTAAAATCCTACTTTTTAAGGGTTGATATTTAATCATATGCTGTCAGTTTTGCATGTGTTACTTAAATTATTTTGTATATAACTTATTGTAATACATAACAGTATTTGTTAAGCATATACCCTTCAAATGAAATTGGTTCGAGTTTGATGTTGAGAGTAAATAGTAGATGTGCAATGTTCTACATTATATGTTTTACTTTAAAAACAAATATGCCTATCATGGAACTTGCAGTTGTATATAAAGCAGAATATTTGTATAGCGTTATTTTTGAAACTGTTATGTGTGTGCTGAGATTTGTAAGTTATTACTATGAACAGATGAAACGGTCTTCATATGCAGTTTGGGCATGGGTATGCTCATACATTTGCAACGTGATTGGTATCAATGCTCCAAGCCAAGATAATGTTATCTGCTTGTATGCAGGTGGCATTCTAAGATCTGTTAAAGTAACAGTGGGTGACCTCGTGTGAATATTTATTCTTTCAATTGAAATCAAACATATTCATGTGCAAATTGTCCTTTTATGTCAATGTTAATTAGTTCTCTCTCATCTAACTGCCTGTGACAGCTATTTTCACTACAAATATAAATCAATAGTGAAGTGCACACGTTCGTTTCATGTTTTTTATTATGTACAGAATTTTGTTCGATCAAGTAATTCACATTTCTCAGAATCCACCAGATGCTAATATTCCAAGCATCCCCCATAATCGCTCCTGCTTTAGGGCAGATAAACATACTGCCAAGCGAAGTTAAAATGATATCAGCGAACAATGAATACACTCATTTACGCTTTGCACGTATGTAAATGGCATGCAATAACGGTGACGATCCTGTACAGATACAGCTCCTTTCTTTGCCACAAAACATTCACAATCAATTGGTAATTAATATCTCATAAACAAAGCAATAAAAAACGTAATAAATAATAAAATGGGTTGCCACCGTATTTGTGAACATTGCTGCAGTTTAACAATAGTCGCACATCGTGACACGTATGCGCGTTGGGGATGCATACATGTGTCGGGTGTGTACACAAACAAACATCATACATGCATGGTTTGAAATTACGATTAACATTGTGTGTGCAGCCGTGCTTGAACATCCACCCCCCCCAACCTTAATCTGAACCTCAAACATTTAGAACGACTACCCCCTAGGCAGTAAAATTCTCACTGGTCAATTTTATCGTCAATCAATACCATAATCAGCTAAAAATTTATAACGTCTTTGTACGAATAATACCAAAGGAAGCAACGTCGTTACATTAAAGTCATGAACTACTCGCTGTGACGTGTTTTAGCAAACGTAAAATAAATTGCTCTCCCCACCCATCTCTTTGTATCTCCGATTCGTTTGGTTCTCGAGTGTAAAATGGCATTATTTTCGCACAACAGTGGCCCTGCGCCACCATCACATTTCCTATGATCAGGAGTGAATATGATTTTATCTATTATTATTCACTCCTGATATGATTATCAGTCTATTCACTGCCCATGATTCGCCGAGAGCACTCCATACACAACCATGCGTACATGCATGCACCCAGTACATCAATAAGACTAAGGTCTCATGCATTCATTCATTCATTCATTACGTGATAAAATCACAGTTAAATATACATATGGGCGCGAAGACAAGGGGCGTCCCACGAAGACAGGGGGCGCCCACGAGGACAGGGGGAGCCCCACGAGGACAGGGGGGCCCCACGAGGACAGGGGCGCCCACGAGGACAGGGGGAGCCCCACGAGGACAGGGGGGCCCCACGAGGACAGGGGGGCCCCACGAAGACAGGGAGCGCCCCACGAGGACAAGGGGCGCCCCCACGAGGACAGGGGGTGCCCCGACGTGGACAGGTCTCGCCTCGGCTACGGCGCCTATACACAACAAACGTTAATCCGCTCAAAAGATCACACTCGGCGGGGATAACCGCTAGAGCTGCTGCTGCTGCTGCGTCCCGCAGAATTTCGCTACACTGTACAAGCGGGACGCGATCGCCGCGTCAGATTAGCCTGCCGTTGGCGTCGCGATTCGCTCGTGGGACGAGGTCCCCCGACAAGTCCCCGCCCCCGCCGCCGCCATTACAAATGCATGGCGGCCGCTACAATCGCGCAGCCGCGGCTACGACCGCCCAGCCAACGCCGCTACGACCGCGCGGCAGCCGCTGCTAGCGCTACAACTGCGGGCGCAGCAGCCGCTGCATGGGCACGCGCACGAGCACGGGCGCTCCGAGCGCGAGCGCGGACGCCGACGTGAGGAACGGCTGCGGAGCGGCGAAGCGGATCGGCATGGGCGCGAGCTGGAACCGCGCGTTCGCCGCCGCCGCCGCGTGCATGATGTGCGGCAGCCCCGCCATCGCGATCGGGTGCCCCGCCCCCGCCCGCCTGGAAAGAAGGAGAGACCGGCGGCGGAGGGCTGCGACAGCGGCAGCATGAAGCCCTGCGGGTGAGGGTGCGCGCTCGGTCATGATGGGGTGTCGGCAGCAGGCCGCTGCCCTGCGCAGCAGCCGACGACATCTGAGACTGCGAGACGTAGATGGGCGCCTGCTGCGAGACGGGGATCATCGAGCCCTGAGACAGCGGGATGAATCCGGGCGGGATCGGCTGTCCGCGGGGGGAGCATGTCGGCGCGCCAGTGCGCTGCGGCACCATCAATCGCGAATGCCGCCGCCGCCATGGACGCCATGGACGCCATGGAGGCCATGGACGCGGGTACGAGAGCCGACATGGGGCTCGGCAATGAGTCGCGGCTGCGGCGGCGATCCGCTTCCGCGCGCGCGCGTCTAGCAGCCGCGCCGCCGCAGCAACGGCCGCCTGCTGCTGCTGCTGCTGGCTGCTGCTGCTGCTGCTGCTGCTGTGGCCTGCAGCTGCCTGCTGGCTGCGCCTGCAGCTCCGCCTCGATCTTCGCTGGCGAGCGCCGGGTTCAGCTTCATCTGCTGCTTCTGCGCGTGCAGCTGCGCTTGCTGCTGCACGCAGCCGGTACTGCTCTACCTGCTCGGGGGGGATCACGAACGATCGACGCCTCCTCGTCCCACCGCCAGCGACCTTTTCTTCGCGGGGGCGGCGGCGGCGGGGGAGACTTCGGCGGGGCGCGGCGGTGGCGACTCCGCCTGGTGGCGGCCTCTTCCTCTGCGGCGGGGCGGCGGCGGCGGCGGCGGCTCTCGTCGCGCGCTCCGCGGACGCCTTCCTCCCCGCGGCGCGGCAGCGGCGGAGGCTGCGGAGCGCCGGGTCCTTCTTCACGTTCGTCAGCGACGCGCGGCTTCTTCGTTTCGGCGGCGGCGGCGCGGCGGGATGTCGTCGTAGACGGGCGCCGCCGTCATCTCCGCGCAGCTGCAGCACGGGCAGCGTCGCGGGCGTCGCGGCGCAATGGCGGCCGGCGGGAATCTCGCGCGCGCGAACGCGGCGGGGGAGGCGGCGGCGGCAGCACGCACGCCCGCACCCCGGCGGAGGCAGCCTTGCATGTAGGGCAGCCTCATCCGGCTGCTGCTGCTGCTGCTGCTGCGGCGGGGGCGGGGGCGGGGGCACAGTGTTGAGGTCCTTCATGCCCGGCACCTGCTGCTTGACGTGATCCGGCGACGGCGACGTCGTCGACGATGCAGCCGCTAGCGTCGTCTTCGTCGTCGCCGGCGACTCGGACGGCGGCGGCGGGGGCGGCGGCAGCTGCGGGCCCTGCACCGGCTCCTCCTTCACCACCCTCCCCCGCTCCGCCTCCTCCGCCGTACTGCTCACCACGGGGGGCGCCTCCGTCGAATCCACCGCTTCCTGCTTCACGGTGACGGTGTCGGCCCGCGGGGGAGGCAGCGGCGGCGGCGGTGGCGGCGGCTGCTTCCCGCCCGCGGTCGTCGTCATCGTCGTCGTCGTCGGCGACCCCTTCTCCTGCTTCACGACGGGGGAGGAGGGCGGCGCGGGCTTCTCCTTCCTCCTCTCGGAAGCGTCACCCGCGGCAACGGGGGGGAGCCGCACGTCAAGGGGCAGCGGGATGTCGACGAGGCAGTCGGCCGCGGCGACCGGATGCTTCTTCTCCATTGTCAGCTTGGCGATGTCGCTGCTGCTGTCGGCGCCGCCGCTGCTGCCTTCGATCAGCTTCTTGCGCAGCCGCGCCATGATGAGCTGCGTCTGCCGCTGCTCTGGCGACAGCAGCGAGCGGTGGTCGCGCTTGAGGAACTCCGAGACGACCCGCTTCTCCGCGACGCTCTCATCCGCCGTGTCCAGGAACGCCGATTCCAGCTCCGCGGCGGCGGCAGCGGCGCCGCCCTCTTTGGGCGACGGCGAGCGAGAGCTCGTGGCCGAGCGGCGGTCGCGGCGCGAGCGCTTGCCACGCGAACCCGACCGGTGGCGCCGCTCCCACGAGCTCGAGCGGGAGCGACGGCCGCCGCTGCGGCGGTGGTAGCGGCGACGCGAGCGAGAGCGCGACCGCCGGCGCCCCCTGTTGTCGTCGCGGCGGCTGCTGTCGTCGTCGGACTCGTAGCTGCTCGTCCCGCTCGTCGAGTCCGCCGTCGTGTAGTCGTCCGACGTCGAGAAGTCCTCCTCTTCATCGTCGTCCTCCTCCGAGGAGGAGGAGCCGGTGGAGGACTCGTCCGAGGAGCCGGATTCTTCCTCGCTGCGCGCGTACGAGCGCCGCGATCGCCTCCTCCTCTCGTCGCGCGCGTCGCGGCGACTCCTCCCGCGATCGCGCTCCTCATCGTTGACCGCCTCCCTGCGACTCTCCGGCTCCTTCCTTCTCTCGCTCGCTCCCCCCTCCACCGCCGCCGCGGCTTCCCCCTTGTGGGTCTTCCGCGCGGGTTTGACGTCGGCGGCGGTTTCGCGTCGCCCGGACGACGGCTCTCGCTGCCTCTCCTTCGACTTCTTCCCCGCGTCCATCACCGCCGCCGCGCTCTTCGCTTCCCGGCCGCTCTCGGACGCGCTTCGGCCGGACGCCGCGCGAGGGCGACGCTTCTTTTCGCCGTCGCCCGCCGACGACCTGACTTCCGGCAGCCCAACGTCCGCCTTCTTGCGGTCGCCTTTGCCCGACGACGGCGCCTTCGCTACCTTGTCCCTCTTCTCTTCTTTCGTCTTCGGCTTTGGCGGCGGAGGTTCCTGCTGCTGCTGCTGCTCCTTGCCGTGTTCGGTTCGCTTGCTCTTCCTCGCCTTCTCGTCCGTGCCGCTCCTGTGCTTGCGTTTCACGCTGCCGCCGCTCTCCTTGTGCGGCTTGGGCTCGGGCGACGGACTGCGATTCTTCGCGGCGGCCTCCCGCCGTCGCTTCTTCTCCTCCGCGTCCTTCTCCTTCTCTTTCTCCCTCTCCTTTTCCTTGTCTCTGTCCTTCTCCTTCAGTTTCTCCTTGTGCTCCTTGTGCTTCTTCTTCGGCTTGCTGGTCGTCTCGTCGGCCTCCTTGCCGCCGGCCTCCTTCTTCGTCGACCGCCTCTCGCCGCGGCTCTCGCTGTCGCGTTTCTTCCGCGACGACTTCGCGGGAGTCTCCGCCGCCGCCGCCGTCACGGGATGCTGCGTCTTCTCCTCCTTCTCCGAAGCAGCGGCGGGCTTCCGATTCTCCGGCGTCTTCGTCGCCTCCCTGCCGGTCTCCCGCTCCGTCGCAACCGACTGCTTCTCGGCTTTAACGTCGAGGCTTCCGGGGTCGACGCCGAAGTGATCCCTGTTGCAGCTGAAGGACAGCGGCGGCTCGGTCTTCGTGTACTTCAGCTGCTGCACGGGCCAAGCGATCTCCGTCTTGCCGTCCTCACCGACGACGCTCACCGTCGTCTTCGGTCCCTCCGCGACCGGCGGCGCTTCCTCCGTGGCGAGGGGAGGCGAGGAGGACGCGGCGACGGCGGAGCAAGGCTTCTCGCTCGCATTCGATGAATCGTGCGGTTTGCTCACCGACGACGACACCTTCTTCGTCGCGTCGCCCGCGGGATCTTTCTCGCCCGGCGGCTTCTTTTCCGCCTCCTCGTCTTTCGCTCGGTGCTCCTTCTTAGCCTTCTTGTCCTTTTCGGCATCCTGCGCGCTAGCCGCCGATTTTTTGTCGGATTTGCCGGCCCTTCGTCCACCGCCGGCATCGTCTTTGGGCAACGCGACGAGTTCGACCTTCGGCAGGAGGTCAGATATGCGCTCAGGGTTCTCCGCCTTCATGAAGGAGAGGAAGGTGAGCTTTGTCTTCGCGCTGGAGCCCGTCGGCAGCTCGTCCGGGTACCACTCCGCGTCCGGAAACCTGGTCTTCACGTCCAGCGCCTTCAGCGAGTTGTGCATCTTCTCCAGGCTGGACGCGGCGTCGGCGTCGCCCGCCAGCCAGCCGCGCCGACGCCGGCGCCGAGTCGTCTCCCATGAGGGCGCCGTGCGACGCGCCGTCCGCCTGTCTTCTCGTTCTGCCCTTCTCCGGTTCCTCGGCTCTCCTTCTACCTCCTTGCCTCCTTGCCAAACACGGGACAATACCGAGGCCCGCTGGCAGAGTCTTCTTCGAATTTGCGCTGAACGAGAAACGACACCTTGCTTGCTGACCGCAGTCGCTCCCGCGTCCCCGCCGCGCCCTGCCGAAGCGACATTGGTCGAACCTCGCCTTTCAGCGTAGTGAAACGAGATCGTCTTCTTCCGCCCGCCCGGTCGCCGCGCGCCAAGGTCGTCGTGCCGCGGCTGAACGCCCTCACCTCTGACCAGCGGCGGCGTCCCGCGCTCGCCGCGGCCGGTCGCCGGCGAGTCTCTGCAGGGAGCGAGATGTCTTCGACCCCGCCGCGTCGCCCCGCGCCGGCTCCGTCACCGCAGCGGATCCATCGACGCCAACGGAGCGGTCCTTGCGTCGCCGCAGCCACCGCGCCTGGCTGCCGTCGCGCCGCCGCGCTGCCTGCCACTGCTTGCCGATCTTTCACTCGAGAGGAAGAGGTCGGCACATCGGCCGGACCGCCTCCTCGGTCCGCCGCGACACGGATCTTCGCTATCAGTGCCTCGTCGCGGTATGGCGAGCGGCGCGTTGCGGCGGCGCGTCTCGTCAGCGCGACGCGGCCAGCAACCGCGGCGGACGTCGGCGGGCGGCAGGCTCTTGTTCTGTCGTTCCTCAGCTTCCCTGGCAACGGGAAGGACAACGCATTAGCGTGGATGCTTCCCTGACAACGGGAGGAACAACGCATTAGCGTGGATAGCGTATAAATATACGCGCGTCGAATGTCGCGACGGCGAGTGTTGCCGTTGCCACTGTTACGTGCCGTGGTGCCTTTAGAGTAAGGTTGACTGACGTCCGCGCGAATAAATTGCCCGTGACTGCCCCAAACAGTTTGCCTTCGCGCCCCTCTCTGTCTTACACAAAAAGTGTTGCTAAAAAGAGAGCTGCCCTTTTTCCCCCTTTCCTGAAAATTCTGATAAAAGCCAAGGCAACACTTGCCTCGCTTTAGGAAAAATTCAACCTCTACACTTTGGTCCTACCTATTATAGGTATCAGATTACCCTATTAAGGTATTACTAACTGATAATTAGTTCTTAAAACTAATAATTAATATATATATATATAATTAAAATAAAGACTTAATGATTAATAATAATAGAATCAATAAAGACTTAATTATTAATAATAATATAATTAATAAAGACTTCATATTGATCACATCACACGTCACATGATGTGACGGCTTCAGCTATTAAGAAGAGCATACAACTACTAAGTGAAGTGTCGACCCTTCGCACTTACTCTTTCTCGATGGTGTCGGCAAGCTCTATCTGCTTCTTCAGTTCCTTCTGCATTCGTTTCTCCTCCTTGCGATAGTGTGGGCCCATGGCACGGCCAAACTCTCTCTGCTTCAAGTCCTTCAGTCTCTGCACGGCAAGTAGGAAGCATAACGTACATGTTATATATATATATATATATATATATATATATATATAGATGTGAGAAGTATGAGAGTATAAGAGACATACCATGTTGTAAACTTATAAGAAGCATTGTATAATAAGGGTATCCCGTTCCACCTTATACTAATCACTAAGAACTACTACTACTACTAACTACAGATAACATGATGTAAGATACTCAGTGCGGTCACTTTAGTTACAATCAACCTATCTGCCAGGTACGTCTCAGAAGCGACTGTCAGGTAATTCTAGCCAATCAGCAGCATTATACACATGCTGCTTAGGAATGCAGCATGAAAAAATCACCAATGTGGTCGGCGTGGATATACAACACTTCAAAACCGATCTGGCTTCAAGGACCTAGCATGAGTATGCGAGCGAGCTGTGGTTATTTCACTCAAACCGATAGGTAAATCATGAACATTAGCAGGTGTGTGTGGGGTGTCTCGCACCTGTTTGTGTGCATGATCGTAGCCATTGATGTGGTTATCGAACTCGGTGTGCTTGTAGTACTGCTTGTCACATAGTTCACAGTAGTAGCTGGCCTTCAACTCGGCCAGGCCTTCCTGCCGTATCTTCTCCCGGGTCTGTGTGTCCTGTTCGACGTGCAAAAAAACAATGGCATCGTTACGAGACATATCGTCATGCGAGTAGCACTGAGCTGCCATTGCTGTTAGTGTTGTTGTCACTGCTGCTGGTGTTGCTACTACTGCTGCTGCTGCTGCTGCTGCTATTGCTACTGCTGCTGCTGCTGCTGCTGCTGCTGTTGCTGCTGCTCCTACTGCTGCTGCTGCTGCTGCTGCTGCTGCTGCTCCAACTGCTGCTGCTGCTGCTGCTGCTCCTACTGCTGCTGCTGCTGCTGCTGCTCCTACTGCTGCTGCTGCTGCTGCTGCT